TTTTACAAAATACCTAATTTGTAACTATTTCAAAATAAATAAATTAACTAAACAATTATGTTTGGCAATTTAGACAAAATTATTAACCATTACTCTCAAACCGCTACATTAAATAAGCATTTAGGGTCTATTTGGTATAACGGTTAAAATTCAATAGATAGTGAATAGTAAGTAATGGATAGTAGATAGCATGTAATGTGTAATGAATAATAAATAACAAATAATAAATATTGGATAGAAAATAACAGTAGTGGGTAATGGATAGTGAATGACTGAATGACATGTAGCAGAAAACGATTAATGGATAATATATAATGAATTTGATTAATATAACTGTTTGATTATATGAGAGTTAACGATTATTATTTTAAATTAAATGACTAATAAGGATATATTTAAAAATAATTATCTGTATTTTTTATATTTTATTTTTTATTATTAAAATTATTAATTTTTTTAAAATAATAATAATAAATAAATAAATAATAATAGTGTAATCATAGACTAATTTTTATTTTTAATAAAGAAAAAATTATATTAGTTTTAAAAAAAGTATAAAAAATTTTAATCTTTTCACCTAATTAGCAAATTTTGTTTATTAAGTTAATATTTTTTATGATAAATTAATGTAAAAATAAAAAAATAATAATCACTTAATGTTATTAAAGATAAAAAATAAAATTGAAATTAATTAGATAGGTACTAATTAAAAAATGTAGCCAAAAATTAAAAAATTAAAAAGAATAAATTTGTCAATAAAATTAAAAAATTTGAATCTATTAATGGTTTGGTACAAAAAATTATCTTATATAACTTTTTCAATATGCTAACAATTTAGACCATTACTACTTTCCGTTAATCCCAAACTATTAAATAAAAACTTTTACTAAACACCTAATTTATAGCAATTTTAAAATAAATAAATTTACTAAATACTTATTCTTTTAATAATTCAAATAAAATTACTAACTGTTACATCCAAATCACTGTACAAAACGGTCCTTAATCAAACTAAAGATTTCTTCAAAACGAGGCAAAAGATGCGTATTCACTTCAAAAAGGATAATGATACCGGAGACGATTTTCATGAAACGAAATTGCGGGACGATCTATGTGGCAAGCCACGTGAGCAGACACACGGCATATTT